TCTCTCTCTCTCTCTCTCTCTCTCTCTCTCTCTGTTTCTCTCTGTCGGTGCGTATGTGTGTGTGTCTGTTTCTCTGTCGATTACCTGAGAGCTTTACTTTTACGTTCTATTTCTACACCCCTAATGAATATGTACTAAAAGGTCAAATACTTAATTTTCATAAACATTCTCTGCCAAACCTCTTTCTTGTTATCCAGAATGGTCGAATTTCCCAGTTCCTTTCTGTGTTATGATTTACAAAATCTTTTCCGTCTGTTAGCACCTAAATTACATACAACCTTTACTAAGAATAAATAAATTATGTTAAATGTTTTCACTCAGAACGTACTGTGGGTAGTTGGCGGGTGCTCTGGTGTGGTTTGCTCCTTTTCTTCCCCTATCAAACATCTGTCGTCCTTATTTCCCCTCCTTCTTTTTTTTGTATGTTACTCTCTTGTAACTCATAATCTATTCTTCGACACTTATATGACCTTATTGTGTTGCAAGTGTCGTGAAACTCTTACTAAAACTAAACTAAAAAAGAACGTTCTATATTTTGTCTGTGTGTTGCAGTCTGAATTTGTAAAGCACTAAGTTATTATATTTATCGTTATTTTTACGAATAATATTGTTATTATGTTTGAAAAGAATGAGCATCTTCTCTTCGTTTTCTTTCAAGACACATGGCTGACCAGCTGACTGAAAATGCATTGAGGGTTGGGGGGGGGGGGGCAATCAGACCTTGTCTGTATTAGATTTCCTCGAATTCAAGGCGCTACACAGTAGCGAACGACAGTGGCATGGTTGTAAACTGTTCTGTATTCGTGCAATATTTTGTATTTATGTATGTCTTTATGCATGTATTTACGTATGTACGTATTTATAATGATGTAGTTATGTAGTTATGTATGTATATGTATGTTTGCCATTGTAAACTAAAGTGCCCTTCTGGGACCAATAAAATTGTAATTTATTTATCTTTATTTTATATGCCAAGTCTCTGACCAACTGGCACTGGTGCCGGTTTTGAACCCATTTACCATAACAGCGAGGAGATTCCACACGAAGAATCCCGACTTTCTGGTGGCGTGGATTTGAACCAAAATCATTGGTTGCATGGGCTGTAGGTTGCTGAACTCCCCCAACCTGTCGTCCTGCTTGAACTCCACGATGTCCCAGACCATCCACTCCTGCTGGTCAATGAAGGTCAAATGGTTGACCAGGCTGGCTTCTACGTTGTCCTCCGCGAACTCCAGCTTCTGCTGTTCTGACGTCAGCAACAAGGACAAACACTGTCGGGACAATAATACGTTAATCAATCTGTTTGCTGTCGTTGAAAATAGACACAGTTTGGATTAGTTAGGAGGCGGGCTGCTAGACCTTGGCTCTCAGAGACAACCCGGGCAGAGTGGATGCAACAACCTGGTAGACAAATGAGGATGTTCGTTTTAAAAAAGCTTCGCTTCGTGAGAAATGAAGACTGAGTGCGACAGCGGTTATCCTAACCATCACATCACACTCTGGTTTGATCAATCAATGACTCGATTGACTTCTCACAATAAGTCCACCCATAAAACAATCAACAGATGAATAACAAGCCCTTAAGTCTGCAAGAATTGCCCATTTAGTCGTGATTTATTGATTTTTCAGTCGATAAACATTCAATCCGATTTAGTTATTCACACATATACGCTAGGTTTCAATTGAACAGGCAGATACATGATGCCTGGCCACAGGACAAAACGAACGGCTTTCATTATGAAAATGCATATTTACTAAATAGTTTTCCCCCCGAAATCTCCGTTAGATACATATACATTAATGTACCTTCAAGTGTCTTAAAGAAATGAACAAATGAATACTTTGAAGCAGAGTTGCCAGAAAACACAACGAACAAACAGCAACAAATTAATAACTGAACAAAAACAGAAAATTATAAGTACATCTAGACCGAGTCTCAATAAACAAGTGAATAAAACTAAAATATTTGTTTAAAAGAAAGAAAGTAAGCAAGGAAAATAGAAATACCCTTGCTTCAAGTCACTATCTCCCAAAAATTACTAAATACACAGTTCAATGAACACAATTAACCACCAGCTAGTATGTCATTAAACAATTCAGTACGTGTATACCGGAAAAAAGGAATCAATACCAAAGGCTCAAAAATCAGTTCTAGAATCTAGTGATAATTCATAGCCGTGCATCTCCTTGAAGAATCCGTCGGCCTTTGTAGCTTGTTATGGGCATACCGCTGCCATTTACATAATATTATGTCTATGCCGATTACCTGGTACAAAATATTAGCAGTTGGGTGACTTTAGGAAGTAATTCTGTCTAATTAACCACTGGTCCATATTTCATTCATACCTGAGTATCGAATGGGAAGCTCTGCAGCTCCATACTTTCCGAGAAGCGCCCCGTAATCCTTCTTTTCTCCAGGACAAAAGCTTCGCCATTTGAGTTATGTTCCACGTCTTTCCAAACTTTCTCGAATTTACACTCGATCAGGTTCTGAATCACCATTTCAGGACTCCACAATTCGTCCCATTTAATCTTTGTAATAGATTCTTTCTGGAAAAACAAAACAATAGATCACGTGTGGGTGGACAAAAGCTACAGATGACTGGGATGAAATAAGGGCAAATAGTTTCTGTTATAAAACTAACATTACTTCACAATAATATTATGGTAATAATATGCCTTTCACAAAACTCGTCTACAATCAACACGCAATAGTGTTGGTGTCTCCGTCAGCGCTTTTGAATGAAAGGCAAACACAATAAAGTCTCGACGACGAGAGCCCTGTTTGCACTCTGTTCAAAACAAGCTTAACCCATGCTCCTTACTCTTTGTAGTCAAACATTGCTTTCCACTGAGAAAAGTATCGAAATCACATTAATACCGAGGTTGTCAAAAGCAATTGATCATCATGATCATCATGATCATCATCATCATCATCATCATCATCATCATCATCATCATCATCATCATCATCATCATCATCATCATCATCATCATCATCA